TTTAAAATAAAAGTATATATTTAAAATAAACTATATATTTAGTAAGAAGATTGGTACTAAATATATATTAAATATATAAAAATATATATTAATATATATATAAATAAATATATTAAAATATATAAAAATTAAATTATTTATTTAATTATTAAATTATTTATTTTTAATTAAATTATATTTAGTAAAAAGATTAATTATTTTAAACATGATTTCTTACGAAATTTATATACACTCCTTTTGCAAATGAATATTGAAGATATGACACTATATATATTATAGTTTCATAAATATATTCATAAAAAGTTCTTGTATTGTAAGTGTTCGAGTACTTTACATCTGACAAATTTCACGTAGGTATTTAATATAAAAAAAAAAAAGGACACTTTGAACACTTTATGAATCTAAAATTAGACCAACTCTAAGATACTGACAATGTTTCTCACACTGTTTGTTTATGTAATTATTAATTAAATACGCACCTTCATATTCCGCTCACATCTAATTAAATCTTAGTTCCTACTAAAATAATTCTTCTAATTCTTACTAAATCACTTTGGTGTTAACACTCTGAATCAAAATGACGCAAGTAACATCTTCGGTGGTACCAATCCTTGCGTCGTTCTGATTTCAGATCGTCTGTGGGTGTGTGAGAAATGGCGACGGAGTAAATAAAGAGTAAAGAGAGAAGGGTTAATTGTCTAATGTCTGTGATTGTCTAATTATATATAAAAGATCGGCAACAGATCGAGGTACGTATACGTCGTACATAATTGATCGGACGTGTACAAAAAGGAAATTTCTATTCTGTCTTCTGCAGAGAAGAATCTTCACAATTCATTTCTTATCATCTCCAATAAACAATCGGACTAACTTTCATTGCGTCGCAATTTCTTTTTTCTTTTTCTTTCCTTTACATTCACATTACAATATAATATCAAGTAACTTAATTCGTATAGTCAAGTAAGAATAACGAATTAATTTCATTAATTTTTTTTTTTTTTTTTTTTTTGATTATGTTGATTTTTAGTTTAATGAGCGTTGCTTTCACCTTTTTGTTTTCAGGCATTGGACACATATGTTTCAGGTATTGATGTCAGATTATACATGCTGGCAATCTTGTTACCTCTGATTTTCGTCAATTGGATCAGGAATTTGAAGTTCTTGGCGCCGTGTTCCACGGTGGCCAACTTTATTACATTCATCAGCTTCGGCATAATATTGTATTATATATTTAGAGAGCCTTTGACATTCGAACATCGTGAAGTGATCGGCAATGTGGAGAATTTCCCCCTTTACTTTGGCACCGTGCTATTCGCTCTCGAAGCTATTGGCGTGGTGAGTAAATACTCGCTTGAAGTGAACGAAATTTTTGTCCCCTTAATTGGAAGGTTTTTGGTTATTTCTTTTTTCTTTTTTTTTCTTTTTTTTTTTCTTAGCACAATGACTAGATTATGAATTTTTATATAGTTATTTGAGAAATTTGAATATAGGAAATTTTGCCACATGAAAATTTGGGAATTCAAGCATTTTGAAATTTCAGTGATAATTAAAGTAGTGGAGGATTTGGAAATTCGAAGATTTGAATGTTTAGAAAAATTCGAGAATATCTGACAATTTAGACAATCAGAAATATAAATGTTCGACAGTTCGAGGGTTGGAAAATTTAGAAATTCAGAAATTCGGGAATTCGGATGTTGCAGGGTTAAAAAGTTTAAAAATTTGTTGCAAAATTCTACCATTCAGAAATTTCGACATCACAGAATTTAGAAATCCAGTTAAAGAACTCGAAAATTTAAATATTCAGTGCTCTAGAAACTTGTGAATTTCAATATTCCCCAGGAAACTTGAGAATTATTGAATTCCGAAACTTAAATATTCGCGTATAAATGTACAAACTTAAACTTTCCAACACTCGTAGTATTATAAAATAACATAAGACACTAACAACATGAACATTCATGCTGTCCCAAAGTTTGAACATCCAAAACAACTCTCATTTCCCCATAATTTCCAATGAAACGATAATTTAGAATAACATAAATATTATAAATGATTACTATCGTAATCGCTCGTTGTGATCTACTTACAGATACTGCCGTTGGAAAACGAAATGAAGAAGCCCAAGGTGTTCATGCGCACGTTCGGCGTTCTAAACATAGGAATGGGCACGATTGTATTCCTCTATACGGCGCTTGGTTTCTTTGGATACATTCGCTATGGCAGTGCCATCGAGGGTAGCATCACCTTAAGCTTAAACGAGCCATTGCTCCTCGCCAAAAGTGTTCAAATCTTACTGGCTATCGCCATCTTCTTCACTCATCCGATTCAGTGTTACGTGGCGATCGACATTGCATGGAACGAGTACATCGCTCCGAATTTCGAGAAGAATTCGCACAAGGTGTTGTGGGAGTATGTCGTCAGAACATCGCTCGTCCTTCTCACATGTAAGTGAACGAGTCTCGAGTGCTTCACCTAATATGTGACGTCAGTTCCGACCAGGTAGAACGACACTGTTGACACAGTATCCAATTACTCGAATAGATTACGGTATATCACTAAAATACTTTTCTCGCGTATGATAATGAAATGAGCACGTTGACGTCAACGTGCTCTTGACGGATATCTTGATGGACATCCTTTGCGTTTGTGGTTGTTCCGAGTATAGATGTTTGCTTCTACCTGTAGAAAATGGAGAAGGATATTAGTGGAAGATAAAAATTTGATCTTGGAGGTAATGGCTCTTTCTTTTTAAATATTTCATTGGTTAAACTATCATTACCGAGAAAAGAGAAAATTTCACACTTCCGATTAATTTTCTAATTATTATCCGAGTTGTACTTCATTGCCATCGATTTCAAATCATTAGAATTAATTGGACATGGAAGTGTAATTGCCTTTAAATCCTGAGGTCTCGTTCTTCCTGGCTCTGATTGTTGGACAGGCTTGTACGCCTTTGATTCAAACTTTGGTTAAAACTAACTGTTCCACAAATATAACTGACTTTGAGTCTCCCTGACCTGTGACCTGATCCCTTCTGACTCGCAGTAATTATTCCGCAGGCCTTAATCGAATCTAACTCTAACTCACTGAAACTCTCGTTTTTTCTTCCATCGTGTTCAAACGTTGATATTTCTCATACGCGAATAGAAAATATAAATCAACTTGAAGAATTAAAATGACCTGCAACCTTTCTGATTTGACAACAAAATTTCAATTATTTTTCTTTTTTAACTTAAAATAGACTTCATCAATCTTTCAACTTCACTGGATAATAATTTTAACTAATTGTAACTGTAATTGTTTCTTTTCAAACAAATATCTTCCAATCTCGAATCTGTTCAAAAGATTTCCAAAAACTTTTTCCAATAACTCTAAACCTCGCAGGATAATTACTGGTTTTCTATCCTAATCTTGACACTGATCCATTCAAAGTATTTCCAAAAAATTTTCCAAATAATTCTAAATCTTACAGAACGATTGAAACTTTTATCATTTTATAGTTTTGTCTGACCAATTGAAATACCTCCGAAAAAATTTTCTACAATCTCTCTCTCTCTCTCTCTCTCTCTGTTCTTCAATTTTAGTTCTGTTAGCCGTGGTGATCCCTGAATTGGACCTCTTCATATCCTTGTTCGGTGCTCTGTGCCTCTCTGGCTTGGGGCTGGCGTTCCCCGCGATCATTCAAATATGCACGTTCTGGCACCAGTGCGACCGTACAGGAAAGGCCATAATGCTGGCGAAGAACATGTCGCTGGTTCTCTTCGCTTTTCTTGGTTTCGTGGTTGGTACCTACACCAGTCTTCGTGACATCATCAAGCATTTCTCGTGAACACTCTGCAAGAGGAAAACAAAAAAAGAATCAGAAAACGAGGAAGAGGAAGATGAAGAAGAGCAGGAGGAGGAAGAAAATGAAGAAGTAGAAGAAGGAACGAAAGGACGGAAGAAACGTCGGAAGAACGAAAACGACGAGGATGAAAGTGTGGCAAATGTGATAAGTTAGCTGTTTAATGATATAAAAGCGACCCTGTTACGCTGCGTTTGACGGTCTTCGTATTTTTTACGATATTCTCTTTCTCTTTTTTTTTTTATTTTCTTCGGAACTTCACGTTTCTCAAATGCACGTTTAGAAAAAAAAAAAAAAAAAAA